CTCCTTTAACATGTATATATGCCTTTGTTATTTTCTTCTTATTAGATTAGATATGTTTAAAAATTATGAATTATGAAATTGTAATAATTTTTAAATCACTTTAATCTATTTTCTTCTTATTAGATTAGATCACATTATTTTAAAGCAATTAATTATATTGTATATTTGATCTTTTTTTAGATCACAAAGTTTAATTATACTTTTATTATTTAAAAGATACTATTTGTATAAAAATCAAAGAGAATCTCACACGTATTTTAGATCTCAATACCAATTGTAATACTTACATATTAGTGTTGGTTAAAAAAAATTCATGCATGAGCTTAACTTATATGATCATACCTTAACCGGATTAGATAGTTTATTTTTTTCACCCAAACTCTTCCACAAAGCCAAACGAGAATAGTAATGCTATAGCTATATATATCCACAAGACTACATATATCTTGAAAATAAATGAAGAAAACTACACAAACAAAAATCATATTAATTACCCCACACACTTACTATTTTCAAAACCACACTTCTCCATTTCCATCAATAATATATCCACATACCCAAATTAAGCTCTTGGAGTTTCCCCCTCACCAACTACATCATTGATCAATCCTCATTTTTTCTTTGTATTTAAATTATATAACATTCATTGCGATAAGGACTCACCTGGGTCCTCTGCCTGCCTTGAACGTCCAATAAAAATAATAATGTACTAAGCCTTGTAGTTATTTAATAATAAGATCATGTCATTATAAACAAATTAAGCAAATGTTAATAATTCTTAAGAATGTACTGCATTCTCCTAGTTTTCACTGTAAACTTGTTAGTTGTTTATTCCTGACCCCAATAGATTTCTAAAATTAATCTTGAGGGTTGTTTGCATTAAAAAGTTTTGTTAGAGGGCTCATACAGTCTGTTTTATAGTTTAAGATTGTCAACATATTTTGTCTCTAATACATATCAATTATGAGTAATAATATAACTTGATTGATCTAAATATATCATAATATATTTATGGACTCTTGTCTTGTATTTTGCTCTTTATTATATATCAACCTGATAACACAATTGATATAAACGATGAAGACACTATTGTAGAATTACCTAAGAAAAAGATAAATGTGGAGAATGATTAATTTCGGCTCAATTAAATATGAAAAAAAGAAGGAACAAATGGTAATATTTTTGAATATTTTATAGTAGAACTTATTTTTTTTTTAGTAAAATTAGGAACCTTCAGAAGGGATTTTGATGCAAAATTTTTAATATGCTTATGTGAATGATTTTGTCATATAAAATTAAGCTAGAGTCACCAGTAATATTTAGTATTTATTTTTTTTATTTGATCCAATAAACAAATATGTTACATGAAGTTTGATATATACAAATTTTAAAAAATAATGTTGTTTATGCAAGTATATAAAAGTATATTGATCCCAGTTTTACATGCAAATCTATTTCATGGCAAATGTAATAATCCATGTTTAAAGATTAACTTAAGATGAATCTAACTTATCTTATAGCAAGAAAATAAATAAATAATTTTGATATTTAACTACGTGCATTACACGTACATAAGAACTAGTGTGTGTGTGTGTGTGTGTGTGATTAATGTGTATCTTTGACAATGAGGGAGATTCCCTCCTTAACAATGATGTGAAATAATTTTTACCATGTGAAATTCTCTCTCCTACTTTATTCTCTCTCATTCACATGGTGGGGATAGTGTCACATTATTGTCAATGAGGAAAATCTCCTCTTTGTCAAGGATACTCATTAATCTCTCTATATATATATATATATATATATATATATATATATATATATATACTTATACCTATATATAATATATACTACTATATATCATATATATATATTATATATGAGCATTAATGAGTATCATTGCGCATAGCGAGGCCCAGCACTTTCCCCTTCCTTGTCGCCTATGTCGCACACCACATCCCCACCATCCTCATTATAAAGTAGGCCCACAAATCCCCACCAACTCACACCTACTCTCTCCCTACTTTCATCGACCGCATGCCGTGGAGATTCGCCTGCCACCTACGCGCCGCTCAAGGCAGGAAATCCCCTCCTATGACAACAGGACTACTCATATAACTCTCTCTACTATATATGATATAGTAAGACTCCTACTCACTTAAGTTTGATGTCACTAAACCCTCTCCTAGCCCCACTTATTTATTGAACCTATAAAAATATTTTCATATCATGCCAAGGATTTCCAGACAATATGAGTGCGCCCTAAAAAGTTTCGTGCTGGACAACTTTTTTTTATCCACTTAATGTTAAACACAAGTTTTTGCCCTCTCTCCTCTCTCTACTCTCTACTCTCTCTCCTCATATATTACTACTATAACTACTCATATAATATATAATATATACTATATCATATATATATAATATAAAAGCCTAGCTGTTCATGCTCCCCCGGCCTGCCCGCTGGACTGTTGGCACGTGCAAACCGTGGGACCCATCGAGAGCAACTCGATGCTAGTTAGAGTTCACTACCACTACGAAAATGCTAACACTAGTTGTTTTAGGCCTTGGTATTTTCTCTATTTAAACCACTAACATTTCTTCACACTAGTCTATGTGGGACTAAAGTGGTGGTATCACAATCACCCCACCTTACAATAACGACGTCCTCGTCGTCACGACATGACAATTGGCACATCTCAGTGTTACTTGCCAGGCAATGTGGACTCTAAAGGTGGCTCCTACCACATCCATGCGGTGTAGCACTTAACCATGTATAGCACTTAGATCCACACTTCCTGCTGGCAACATCTCTGATATCATTTGTCACGCCTCGGGCCCGCGGGCCTGTTGGCGCGTGAAAGCCGTGGGACCCACCGAAAGCAACTCGATATTGGCTAAAGTCCACTACCAAATATTAGCACTAGTTATTCTTGGACCTTAGGCTTTTTTCTATTTAAACCACTAGCATTTCTTCACACTAGTCCATGTGAGAGTAAAGTGAGGATGTCACATAGGTTGCTCAGGCTAACTCCACTAGGTTTTTTTAACAAGATCTTTTATTTAATCTCTTTTATTTACTAGAACCCCAAAAGTATAAGCTATATTTCGTTAGAAACTATAACCTATCAATCAGTTAATCCTAGCAATTAGACTCTTTATTACTAGGGTTTAACCTCCCAAGAATAGGCTATGCCTAATTAAAGTCTATAATCTAGCAATTTATAATTAGTTCTAGTTTTAAGTTAATTAATCTAGAGATTTTGTTACTAGGGTTTAATCCCCCAAGTATAGGCTATATGCCAAAATTAATTATTATCTATAATCTATCAAATTATAATTAAGTTTAGCTTTAATTAATCCAGACTAATTTTTTCTTTACTTAAATTAAAGAGATCTTTTTATTAATCTAGATTAGTTACCTATCTTTGTTAACCTAAGCTCTCTAAGGGTGATTAGCTGCTACTCACGATTTACAAAGACTAAACAAGATTAAAGAAGAAAAAAGAAAAGAGAGAAGAAGAATAAGAAAAGAAAAATAAGAATATAAATTGCAGAAATTAAATGCAAAAGTTAATAATTTACTAAATTGAAGAAACTAAACAGAAGAACTTGTACTCCAAACTAGCAAGCAAGAAAGAAAAACCTTATTGAACTCTTGGGAATTGAATGTGTGAAATACAATGGCTATAGATCCTCATTTATACTGTGCGTGAACCTCTCATAACTGTGGGGTTTGACTTGGTCTCCAAGTGACCCTCACAAATAGGGGTGCCAAACCGTATCCGAGGAAATATCCGTAACCGTATCCGTTAGGATACGAATATGGTTACTCAAATCTATAACTGATAGGATATGATTACGGATACAGTTTTGTAGTGAAATATCTGTATCTGTATCCGAAAATATCTGAATACATATTGGTCATACTTTTACGATAGTTTTGAGTCTTAGATTATGGATTTGTGATTAATTTTGATGATCGAGATGTCTAATCTTAGCTTTTCAATCATAATGAACATATTAACGAACTTTTTTTGTATCACATGACTATATTTTTCTGAATATTATCTAGTTTTCTAATATCCTTTTTGTATCCACATGCATATCCGTTTATATATCTGCATCTATATATGTAACCATATCCGATTTTGGCAGATATGGATAATAATTTTTCTTACCAACGTATATCTGTATCCATATCCGTATCAGAGATGAGTAAGCGAATATGGATATGATAAGTGTCATATCCGAGCCGTATCCGCTCCGTTAACACCCCTACTCACAAACGTAGGATTTAACTTGATCTCCAAGTAATTGAATATTTATTTTCTAATCCAAACAAAACTCTAAAAATATTTATTTTCTAATCCAAACAAAACTCTAAAAGCTGATTAATTTTGGATTTCTGTCAAAAACAATAACTGGTGATGGAACTATGGAAATAGGCCAATCTAGACAGCTCTGTCTTGTCGAAATAGGCAATTTTCATGTATAATATGTTACATTTGGACATACGGTTTGAAAGACAATTCCTTTGAAATAGGCAATTTTCATGTATAATATGTTACATTTGGACGTACGGTTTGGAAGACAATTCCTTCTCATTGTGGTAGACAATCTGAATCCGAATTTGACATGGTATTCTTTTTCTTGGCCCCTATCTAACTTGATTCCCTGCTGAAAATCCAATTGAGTCTGGATTTATTCTTCTAGAATTCGAGTTTGCCATATTGATCCGACATCTTCAAATTACTTCTTAATATTGATCATCACACACATTTCCTTAAGCTTACTAATGAATATTTAAGAATCCTCAGTGTCGGCACCAGTGAATTTGGGGCAGCATGCTAATCTAATGAGGTTTTAGCTCGAAGTTTTCAACCATTGCAGCTGGAAGTGGTATCCTGCAGTTTATTTGTCACTATCATGAGGAGTTCCTTTCTTGGTTAACGTAAGTAATATCCTGTAGCTTCAGAAGCCTGGCCTGAGAATTTGCTGGCTGATGTAATAACAACATGAAATAGAAACTGCCAGAAATTCCCAAGATAACAATAGACAGACCACGGTTATTAAAAGATAAGCAAATTCAAGATGATAGATGGTACATATCTTTACGAGTGAGTACAGTTCATGTTCATTTTTGGCAATCAAGCTGATACCACTTACAGCAATACCCGTCTATATGGATTTGAGGAAAACTCCATGATTTGAAATTCTCAGCCTTTTTCAGACCTTTCACTGAAAATGATACACTTGCTTTCAGAGCTGGAATATGTCTCAATCAGACGACGTTTAGGCCTACAGGCCTACAGTCACGACGTTTAGGCCTACAGTCACAAAAGCAAACATTATGGCAAAATTTATCAAATTCCAAAAGCATGGCTAGCCATAAGTAACAAAAAATGAGCAGAGATTTCGCACAAACTGCTATCTTACAATATATGACAGCATTTACCTTCTTTGCCTGTACTAGTGCTCTTACATATATACCTGTTGGCATCTAATCTCTTCTAGAAATATTCTGACCGTCTTTCCTTACAAACAGCTTGTTTATATCTTCAGTAACCACATTGCTCCTGCCAAAGAACAAACGCAATTAAATAATTAATGTTGGTTTAAAAATAAACATTCTCCATATCTTCAGTAACCACATTGCTCCTGCCAAAGAACAAACTCAATTAAATAATTAATGTTGGTTTTAAAAATAAACATTCTCCGTATCAAAACCCACGAAGCTTCAATAGATTTGTAAAACACCGCTTCTAATTCCCAAGCATCAGAGCATATTGGAGAAGGAATGCCAGTATTACATGAAACAAGTTACCCAAGTGACTTAAAGTAGAGAACAATTCCTCAACAGGAATAAGGCTTCAAGAAAAAGTGAGGTTAGAGAGCTGGAGATACGCAATCTAATGCTTCTTTTAACTAAAGGAGAACAATGAGATGAACAGTAAATCCTAATCAGCAACTCCAACTAAGCATTTTAATTTTTTTATTAAAAGAAAAATTAATCCCCAGATAACCGCCTCAACATGTCCTCCTCTCTCCGATAACCGCCTCAATAAGATAAAATTACTCACCGACCGCCCTCCTCTCTCCGATAACGCCGCCCCTCTCACTTCTCTCTCTCTCTCTCTCTCTCTCTCTCTCTCTCTCTCTCTTCTTTTTCACTTTCTCTCTCCTCTCCCAAAAAAACCAAATAACGAAATACCACTTACCACCCCTGTTATAGGGTTTCGCCGCCGCTGACACCCAAAGTGCCTTCCCTCAATTTCTAGGGTTTCGGATCTGAGGGAAAGTTTGAAGATCATCGGATCTAAGGGAAGTTATTCGTCGACTGACGGTCTAATTCCGGCGATCGTGGGATCGATTAGAATTTACGGCAATCGGAAGGGAATTCTAGGGTTTTGGGAATGGAATTTGATGAGATTTTACGAGATTAGCGTAGGATTTGAAGGCTGATGTTGTCGTTGAGGAGTAGGGATGAAGGGAGGAGGGGGGATGGGGTTAGGGTTTCGATCGATGGAGGAGTACCAGCTTGAAGAAGGCGAAGGAGAGGTCTTCTTCAGACGCAAGGACGATGCTTACATAGATCCTGAAGTCACATTCTCTTATATCGTAAGAAACTTTGGTTTGTTTGATTGTTAAAAGGTAAAAAAAATTTAATGGGTGTAGATATCTAAATTATTTGTTTATAAGCCAAACACTAAAAATTATTTGTTTAGCACTAAATGAACTATCAAAATAATCAACCGAAGTGAAGGCATTAATTAAGGTTACAGGGACATTAACAATGCAACTCTTGGTTTCTTCTGAAATGTTTGATTTCATCTCTTTTGATTTTTATTTGGATAGTAGGTCAAACTAACTAATTTCCACATTAAATTGGCTTAGTTGCACTTAAATACCCTATGGTTTCACCTACTGGATATATATGTGCAAATTTGGTTAAACTTAGGGTAATTATGTGCAACTAAGCCGCTTGAATTTGAAAACATATTTAAATAACTTCTTGGAATTATAATGAAACATGTGAAAAGGATAAATGAAACTATCTTTGAAGTATCATCTTGATAAGATGCTGAGGAAATAAGGATAATTACCACAATGTGTTTTAATCTAGATGCGATAGTTATACATGTGGGTTAGAGAGAGCACCACCATTGCCCTATTTAATTCAGTCTATCTTTTTTTTAGTATATAATGTTTTGGTTCTATGTTAATTTTGTTACTTTGGTCCTTTTAAATTTTGAGTATTAGTTAGTATATATATTTGCAACAAAAGCACATGTAAAGATTTGAACTTTATTTAAAAATCTATTCATCAAGGTTGTATAGTATTGTAGGTGACTAATCTGTGTGTGGTTTGGTTGAAATTTATTTTAAAATTTATTTTAAAATTTATTCATCAAAGTTGTATCCTATAATAATTAAGCAATCTACATTATATATATTGAAATCAAAAGTACAATTATATTACTAACTAAATCTTATTTCTGTTTTTTTGGGTAGAAATACAGGGTCTAATCTTCTCTGTTCTTCATTTCACATTAGCATCAACTTAGAGAACTGAATGTACAATATATCTTTTGTAATCAGTTTTCCTTGGTATGTTTTGATGATCTTTGATGCACTGCTATGTTAGGAGAAGTAAAATATTTTTATTAGTCATGTTATTCTCTTGCATCAAAAGGAAAATTACAAAATATTTTTTTAATATTTTTATTAGTCATGATATTCAATCAAACTTGATTGAATATCTAAACAAAAAAAAAGCAAATAACACCCCTATACTTCATATCTAAAGCAGAATATTTTATTTTGATAACATGTTCAATATTTGCAGAAAATCTTTTAGAAACCGTGCTTTGCACGGGTCTAAATACTAGTAAATGATAGAGAAGGCACAAGTTTTGATGGCTACAGGCCCACAGCATTATCAGAATGATGAATATGATACCAATTATTAGACTGAGTGGTAGCAGCAGAAAAAAGTATTTATAGCCATCAAAGTATATCGTCTTCAATAAGCAACCCCCTCGAATAGATCTTCAATTTTCCAACTACAGAAGTTTGATTTTTGAGGAAAATTATTAGCGCATTCATCATACATAAAAAAATAAGTTCAGTGCAATACTGAAAATTATAGACGGATAGACGTTGCAGTTGCAGACAAAATTAGACAACGACCAACTGTCCTCAACAGGTAGAAAATTCATCTCAACCAGGATATCAAAAAGGTTCAGCAAAAATATAACACCACTGTAAAATAGTAATGACAAGAGGAAATGAGTGCAACTAAAAAATAACAATAAAAAAAGTGTAAACCATTTTATCTTCCTTTCCCTTCGGTCAATCAGAATCATTTCTCAAGTCAAATACACGGAACAGGTATTATCAATAGTAAATGAAACTAAAAATTTAGTAGACATACACAATACGTCAAACTTCAAGCATCGCACAGAACAAAATACATGGAAAAGGTATCATAAAACTGAAACTAAATATTGTATAGATGTGTGCCATCCTACCCCCTCTCCTACTCCGTTCCTATGAACAATAACTAAAATAGTAATTGAAAACTTAAAACTTTCCAGACATACAGAATCTTCTTCTTTCTCTTCTGTAATCTCCGAGAGCCAACTCAAAAATCAAAACAGGCTATCAACTTTAAAAAGCCGGCAGAACCTTATTTCACGGCTTATATATCACTGTAATATTTCGCTTTCCCATTCGTTCCCATTCAGTGTAACTGTGAAACGTTTTTGGCCTTTCTAAACTTTTCTATGCCAAATGTAAACCATTATATGTTTTCATATTCCAACATTTTGGCTTGATGAATTAATCACACAATTGACATTTGACATGTTAGATTAGATTATGTAGTACTGATATCCCACATGCTGAAATGAAAATGTAACACTAAGAAATGATTATGAACTAACCTCCCACGGAGCTGTGGTGGAATTAACTTGCTACCCACAGTGTCTGGTATATTCCTTGAATGGGGCAGGGATCCCCTAGGCTGTTTACTCTGCCGACTAACTAATGAGGATCCATTTGTCTCTCTTTTACGCGATTCGCCAATAGCAGCTGCAACTCTAGAAGAGTGGTCAAACATCATGGTTGGATTCGACGAAAAAGATGACGAAAAAAGAAGCGATGCATCTGGGAGTTTTTCCATCTGTGGGGGAGGCACAGGGGGTGCAATGCTAGGCTGATGCAATGAAGATGAAGTCATGTTATTCCTGCAATAAACAGGTGAAAATGTGATCAGAAGGTTATAAAGCATTAAAACGCTGCAGAAGAAGTCAATTTTGCCATCGGAATAATATCAGATTTAATCTCACAGCTGGTGTATAGCACCACGGTGTCTCATAGTTTCTCACAATAAACACCCAATATCAAACAACAAAGGGACTGACAACAAGCATATGCGCTAGACGCGATGATCATCAACACTGACCGTGAAAGTGATGTTACGTTGACACGAAAGCTCTAAGAATTGTAGAGCAGTGACCACTCATTCGAATAACCGCTTTCTATAAATTTAGAATTGAAAGTAGAGATGTGAATGCCAAGCATGAACCCTTCAAAATCGATGCCATTGCTTCTTGTTATCGTGCACAATTCTGACTGAGAAAACCACTGGCAAGAGGAAGTTGCATGCATCCCCCAAATATCCAAAAAAAGCCGTAATATATAGTTATTGAGCTTTAGTTTTAATGTCTGCACTTTATAATCTCAAAACCCACTATAGTAATCTCAAGGAGATCTGAACAGATAACAATGCGAATGACTTCTTTAAACTAAACCCTAACCAGGAGAACATTTCAATCCCCAAAAGTTATTGTACAAACTAAACCCTAATTTTACAAAAGCGCACAAGGGGAACCCTAACTTTTCCTATAACACTAGAACTCAAGTCAAATTCACAATAAATTCCAAAGTAAAAGAGATTACTGATTCTGGCGATCCGATGGAGGGATCGAAGCACTGGAATCAACTGCCTTCTTCTCTTCTCCTCCTCTCTCGATAATTTCGTCGGTCTTCTCTTCAATTTTTTCATCCTCGTCGTCTGAAGACGAGGCGTAATCTACCAGCGACATCTCTCTCTCTCTCTCTTACTATTTTCTTCCACAAATCCAAAGCTCAAAATTATTTGGAATGAGAACTAACTAGATCGTACTCAGCGTCTCAACCGAAGGAAATGTCGGTTCAAAATGTTAAGCCTTATTTTCACTTTGGTATCACAAAATTCACCTCTTTCTATACTTTGATACCACAAACTTTGCGTCCAATTTCACTTTGGTACCTCAAAGATTTTTTTTTCTTTTTTTTTTTTGACATTTTGATATTTTAAAGTTTCAGTTCTATTTCACTTTGTATCCCATCTACCTTCCTTTAGTTTTTCCTCTTGGAGCTGTTTGGTTGGATGGAAATGAAGTTGCAAGGGTAAATAAAGCAACTGGATTTGTAAAAATCATTGTTTGACTTGCTACTTTGTAGTTAGGAGTAAATGAACATGCATTTCGTAGAATTTTTTTTATAACAAATGCTACAATCAATTCGGTGAGAGGAAAAGCTATGAATTTCAAAAAATATAAATATAATTCTATTTGATAAAAAAAATCTTTTTAAATCTAAATAGAACCACCTACACCAAGTTTCCATATATGACAAAATTATGTAGTTTTTGTGCTACTTATGTTTTAACCAAACACTGAATTTGTACTAGAAATATATTTCCCATAATACAATTGTAGATATCTAAACAATAAATTGAAATTGATTACCTAGGACAAATGTTACATGTAATATTTGTTACAATTTATTTTTATAGCAACCCAAAAAGCCCAGCTAATATATTTAGATTCATTTTGCCCACTCGCTAACCCATAAAAGACTAACAAGAAAATATAACAGAATTAAGACAACGATATCGAAATTGAATGAGATTGAAACTTTGGGCTTGAACCTGTTAAAAAAAATTACCTTGGAGTATCAAACTGAATTGTGATTAAAACTTTCAGGCATCAACTTGAAGATGAGCAAACTTTTAATCCAAATCGCTATCAGGAAAAAGTTCGTATGGTTAAGCTATCGATAAGCCCAATCAACGGTCCAAGCCCAAATTAAAAAGTCCGAAGCCGGACGCAAGTCCGCTAGTTGATAACCCCCGAAAGATCTTCTAGAATTAGTTAGTTTTCAACTCAAGACCTGTTGGATGACGAAGCATAATAAAAGTGGACTATCATAGGCTTTTCGTTGAAAGTAGCAAATCTAGTTTGGATTACTCCAAATTTCCTCATAACCTAACGTATATTTAGAACGACAGAGTATGAATATATATTTCTAAAAGCAATATGTTTTTTTTCCCTTTTTTCCCCTTTTTTTACAATTGCAATATGTACTTTAGCGGACAAAGGAAGTTCATTCTTTGACAGAATGCAACGGCTTTGGCTTCTAAACTTGGAGAAGAGCGTATAATGTTAAAAAAAGTCAAGAAAGGTGAAGCATGAGTGGAGAAGAATTTGATTTTGTAACGCTATTGCCATCCTAATTGTTGTTGTTCCCTCCTCTCCATGCATTTTTTGTTTCACGTAGTACAAAATTGAACACATTTTATAGTAAATATTACAAGAATGAGGATGGGTTTAAATCCAATTAAGTAGTAATTAGATAGAATCTAATTGTCTTAATATTTACCATATATTTCAACTTGAAATAATGAGATTATATTACATAACATTCTACTATTGTTTTGAACACTATCTTTGTCATAAAGGACGTTATTATAATATTAAAAATCATATGTAATATAAATTTATCCCTTAAAGATGGAATGTAAACTAAATCTACTCCTCTATACTTAAGGGAGAATAAAAAAAATTATTGTTTATGCTACAGTAATACTGTATCATAAACAATAAATCAAATCTGGTCCTCTGAGCTCGAATTTGTTGTTCATACTACAGTAATTTGCTATAGTATAAACAGTAAATCAAATCTGCTTCTTCATACTTGGAGTTACTATTCATATATACTACAATAATTTACTATATAATAAGTAGTAAAACAAATCAAATATATTAAAATTTAGATCATTCTTTAAGTATAAATGAGTAGATATTGTTGGGAATTTAACGCCGAAATCCCTAATGCAACAGAAACGCAGAATAGATAACAGTACACAAGATTTACGAGGTTCGGCAACTGCCTACGTCCTCGGGAGCCACACAGTCAATTTCTTATTTAATCTAACAAGAAATTACAAATCAAGAGCAAATCTCTAAACTGAGATTCCTCAAATGAACACTGTAGCTACAGTGTTAATACCACAAGGTAAAAGCCCCTCTTACTCTTTTCTCTCTCTTCTTTAAATCCTTATCTATCTCCCTCAAAACTTTGAGCAGCTGGAGATCAAAGGAAAATGCGCTGCTGCGATTTTAAGAGATGAACGCTGCTGCGTTAGGGGGAGAACGCTACTGCGTTAGGGGATCCGCCGTCAGAGAGTTCGGGGAGAGGGAGCAGCAAAACCCTAGGTCGGCAGAGGGCGTTTTATAGGGGATCACGACAGGTGGCGACAGCCTGTCGCGCAGCCACGCGAGCGTCCACGCTCGACCGCTGAGGTCGAAGTCGCCAGACGCGCGACGTCGGAGTTCGAAACGCAGGTCGAACTGCCCAGACGCGAGGGGTCGCGTCAACACACGAGGGTCGCGTCAGCACAAGAACGATCATCGCGTTCGCGCTGAGCGGGGTTCGCCGTCGACTCCGCCATGTCGCCTGCCTTATCCCTGGAGCTCGTCGAGCTCCTCCGCCGGCGGAGGTTGGTATCCACCCCCAACCTAACAATCTCCCACTTGGAGACCAAATCGACGCCAACAGGCTATCCCATCAATATCCTCTCCTGTGTGGCTTCGCCCTCATCATCTATGCATGAGGGCCAACTGAAGTTGCACACAACTCCAGTTTCTGAAAGGTCGCTGCCTTTGTCAACATCGTCGGGCTCTGTATCTTCTGGAACCATTCTGCTCCTTTTTTCACTCGATACACCCACTTGTTGTGACGTGCCTTCTTCCCCATGGGCAACTCAGCTAGTCCCCATGTCTGGTTGGAGATCAGAGATTTCTTCTCTTCTTTCGCAGCAAACTCCCACTTGCTCGCATCTCCACTCTGACAAGCTTCATCAAAGCTTTCAGACTCTCCTCCATTTGTCAGCAACATATAATTCATGTATCTGCTGTTAGGACATCATCTGTATCTACAAATGTTGACTCGCTCTCTGAGTCACCGTCATCTGTCTTGTGCATGTCCTTGTACATCACCTTCTCGTTGAATGTCACATCTCTGCACCTGATCACCTTCTTGTTTTCGTTGTCCCAAATGCGGTAGCCGAACTCGTCTTCACCATACCCGATGAATGTGCATTTCTTGGACTTGGGATCAGGCTCATTCCTGCCTTGATCACTTATATGCACATAAGCTACACAACCGAAAACTTTGAGATGTGAGAGGGTTACCTCCTTTCCGCACCATACCTCTTCTGGTATTCTGTGCTCCAATGGAACCGATGGACCTCGGTTGATCAAGTAAGCTGCTGTGTTGACTGCTTCTGCCCAGAACTGCTTCGGTAGACCTGACTGCATCCGAATGCTTCTGGCTCTCTCTGTCAACGTTCTATTCATGCGCTCAGCCACACCATTGTGCTGAGGCGTGCCGGGCACGGTCCTCTCCATTCTGATACCGTGCTCATAGCAGAACTTCTTGAATCTGGTGTCTTCATACTCACCACCATTGTCTGTTCTGAGTTTCTTTACCCTCAAACCGGTCTCATTCTCGACCATGGCTTTCCATCTTCTGAAAGCCTCAAACACTTCTGACTTTTTCTTCAGAAAGTAGACCCATACTTTCCGAGAGTGATCATCAATAAAAGTCACGAAGTAGTGTTTCCCACCAATTGACGCGGTGGTTGTTGGTCCCCAAACATCTGAGTGAACAAGCTCTAGCTTCTGCTTCCTGGGGGGTCTGCTACTTGTCTGAAAGCTAACTCTCTTCTGCTTTCCAAGTATGCATTCTTCACACACATCAATCTCTACTGATTGTAAACCTGGGAGTTTTCTCTTTGTGTGCATAACCTTCATCCCCTTTTTACTCATATGACCGAGTCTCTGGTGCCATAGCTTTGAAGTCTCATTGCCTGCCGCAACTGAGATCGAACAACATGCACTCGCTGTCATATACAGGGTACCAGTCTTCCTGCCTCTAGCAATCGTCATTGCGCCCTTCGAAATCCTCCAGTCATCGCCATGGAAAGTCATCGTGTAGCCTTCACTAGCCAGCTGGCTTACTGAGATTAAGTTCCTCTTCAGGTCGGGAATATATCTGACATCCTTCAGCTCCCATACTGACCCATTCAGCTTAATCTTCACTACACCTTTGCCAATAATGGCACATGCTTGATCGTCACCAAGATATACATTTCCAAGGTTTCCGGGGATATACTTCTCGAGGAATTCTTTCTGAGAAGTAGCATGGAATGATGCTCCCGAGTCCAACACCCAAGACTCCTCCTTGCTCTCCAAAGAGCATATCAGCGCATCATCTCCTCCTGAGGTGGAAGCAACATTCACATCTGCATTTGCCTCCCACTCCTCCCGTGCACTCCTGCACCGATTCTTGTAGTGCTCGGTTTTCCCGCACTTCCAACACTCGATAGCCTTCGAACTGTTGGGATTTCTGGATTTGAATCTCTTGTCATCTGATCCATTTCCTCTGGTTGAACTTCTACCTCTTGACTCTGTATGCAATACTGAAGAGGTTGTAGCTTCCCCCGACTCTCTCCGTCGGATCTCCTCACTGAGAACCAGATCACGAACGTCGTCAAACTTCAACTTATTGCTTCCCGATGAGCTACTCACAGCTGTGACCGTAGCGTTCCAGGTGTACACCATGAAGCATAAGAGTGAAGTCCTAGATTTGTTTGTGGAGTGGAAGAAGAGATTGGAACTGCAGACTGGGAGAAAGATCAAGACGTTGCGATCCGACAACGGCGGCGAGTATACCTCAGACCCCTTTCTGCAGCTATGTCGAGACGAGGGCATAGAGAGGCACTTCACAGTTAGTCATACACCGCAGCAGAATGGGGTGGCGGAGAGATTGAATCGGTCTTTGCTGGAGAAGATTCGATGTTTATTGGCGCATAGTGGTTTGGAGAAGATCTTTTGGGCTGAGGCACTT